CGAAACTATGACGCAGTGGGATCAGGCAACATTTCCATTCACATGCAGCTCGGATTTCAGCGCGCTCTCCCACTCGAATCGAACTATTGAAATTCTTTTAGTGCTGTATGTCGCCTTATCAACGCAACGCTCGCTCGCCAGCGGCCCGATAAGATAAAAAAAAAAAAAATACACACAATATATAATAAAAACGCACCAAAACAAATGCTCAAATAAATCCAGCACACAGAGTTCTGCATGAGCAGAACTGCTACGGCGACTGTGAGAGCGACAGCAAGGGCGACGACGACGACGACGGCGACGGCGACAGCGACGGCGACGTTGATTGGGCGCCCGCAACAAATTGGCGATAAAGCGCTAAACAGTTGACTGCCTGCCGCCAGCTGGCGCCGTTCGCGATCGTCTCGCTATGGCATTGCACTATCCCTCCAGTCACCCTCGCCCCCTCTATCACAGTCCCTCTCTACCCCTCTTTTAAGCTCTTCGCAATCGTCTCTCTGTCTCGCTATGGCGTTGCACTATCCCTTCAGCCACCCTCGCCTACTCTTCGAACCTCCCACCCTCACATTCGCCCCCTCTCTCAATCTACTCGCCATCGTCTATGGCACTGTCCCTCCAGTCACCCCACCGCCCCATATCACCTTCCCATTCTGTTCCACTCTCACACTGTCTCAATCTCTTCGTGAGATTCTCTATGGCACTGCACTATCCCTTCAGCAAACCACGCTCCCTCTATCGCCCTCCCACTCATTCATTCGCTCTGTCTCTCACTCACTGTAGGCAGCGAGTAGCCCATATCCATTTGCACCCATATCAATGTTTACACTGGCAGCTGAGCAAAGCAACTGCCGCTCCACTGAGCAGCCACTCGGACTAGGCCAGAGTCGTCAGCTACTGCAATGGTTAAGGCATTGGGGTAACGGTAGGGCACTTCTATATATTCATTCAATTTGAAACATTTAATGAGGACCTAATAATAATATTAATATAACAATAATATTATTGCATAGCTAGATTTTATATACATATGCACAATATCTCGTCTAAAGCATTTTTGATAATATTTAACATTATTTCTATGCCTAACAGAGTATATTATATTCGGCTATCGGCATAAAATATATATGTATATTTATATCTCTTTTCATTTTTTGTGTTAGTGGAACGAATTGTCCCTGTCTTATCTGAGAATCTTTAAAAACTAATTTAATCAAATTGATAAGCTTTTTGGTTGCTCATTCATCTCTTTTTTCCTAACCCTATTCCAAATATATGTGATAATTCGTTCTCTTACGACATACTTATATGCAGACAGTCTCTTTTTTTGTGGAATTTAAACATTAATCTTCTTTACCATAAAAGAGGATTGAGGTTTCTCCGATTTTGACATTTTAGAGAGAAATGGATTTTTCTTTATATGTAGATAGTGAAATTATACTTCGATTACTCTATGTCTAATGGAAAAATAAGACATTTAGTTAAGCATAGAATAGAATATAGACATGGAATACAACTTAAGAGATTACGTTTCAATCAAGTCCGATGATCAGAGATTTGGTATACCAATTTGTTTGGAATATTCTGAGGCTTTGTTGCCTGGCTTCTACTTGGCTAGATTATTGTCTTTCGTTTAGTGTGATTTCGGGTAACTGTATATTCCGGCGCATTGGACAAAGCAATGTAGCTCGTGCTACGGGTGCTTGATTAAGGACTTATTACTAAAATGAGATTTTTCGCTGGGCCGCCGACATGAATGTGGAAAACCTTCGTTCACACCCTTCCCAGCTATAGCAGATGCTAGTCGCTGCGCCCATATTCTCGCTGGCCCATGCAACAGATGAAGGATAAGGCGATCGTAAAGCCGTTCACTCTGTTCAGCATCTTCCCGCAGCGAATCGGAAAATTCTGCTCATGGCAAGACATGAAGCTTGATCTATGTATAAACGGCACAGTTTTTGCTTGGCGTAGATCTGAGGAATGTAATAGACTTTTCCGCTGAAGCTGTGTAGGCTGCAGTTGCTCCTTCAGCTGAAGCTAAGGCTCGCTGCTCCAGATCGTCGACACCCTTATCTGTTGCTCAATTGGCGATATCATAATGACTCCATTTGGCTAAAACGAATTGTAAAAACAATCTTAAGATTAAGAGTCTGTAAAAAAATACGGCTTACCGGCTGTTCGCTGTCATTGCTGCTCCAACTACAGCAGCCTGGCAATCCACGATCCGCAATTTGCAGCTCTGCATCGCTCCAGTGAATCTGTCATTCCAGCGCGTTCAGATTTTTCCCAGCTTACTGGCCTGCTCCACTTGCTCATGTGTTCGCAAGTAAACCATAATGCTGCAGCGTTTATTTAGTAGCGACATTTTATAATTACAGAAAATCTGCGCTTCTTTTAAAATACGTATTCGCAATTTTTACGATTGAAATTCGATAACAGCCCAACACACAGACTTATCGATATATCGCTTAAAAGTATGCTACACACAGTCTTCATTTGTATCGTAATGATTTTGTGTTTTCAAACACTGCTCGACAAATAGCCGCGCCTATTTGCATTTCCATTTAAACTGAAATCTTCATAACTGCTACTTACGACACGCAGACAAAGTTAAATATTTGTATATATTTATATATGTATGTATGTATGCTTGTATAACTGTGCACACTGTCTAAATATTGCTATTGACTGTCAATCTGTAATGCATTTTCATTCAATCCAAAGCCCTTGGACTTCAAAATTGCCATATCATGCTAATTAAACATTTCGTTGTTGGTTTTATGTTTACTTTTACAGCATTCGCCTGAAAGTTATAGAAATTTAACTGTATAGCACAGCTGACGTCGACTTTATCTCTTTCACACGCGCTTTGGCGACTTTCGTGCGCAAGGGTCTTCGCTGTGGGTCAACTATGCACACAAACAAAATTAAGTCTGTACATGTGTGTGTGTGCGCGCATATGTTGGATGCGTCGTTGTTGGAGGCGTTGACAGCGACGCGACGCGACGTTTTCGGCGCTGACCGTTGCGGTCACCTGTTACTTTCACTGCGTCAAGCGCAGCTGCGAACACGTTTTCTGTGTTTGTCCATTGGCCAAACAATGCAAAGTTATGAAAATTACAAAAAACGCGGCGACAGGGCAGCCGAATTGTTTTTTCTGCTCTTCATTTAATTTTTTTTCTTGCCTTACCAATAATCGCATAAATTAGCGATTCTTTCGGCAATCGCCAGCGGAAGTCTTTTCACTTAGCTCTCACTTTCGTTATCGTTGCCTTTGCCATTGTTGTTGCTGTTGCTGTTGCTGTTGCTGTTGCTGCTGCTGTCAAATATTTAATAATTTGTGCTAAAATGTGAATTAAATGCCCCCATCGCATACATAATAACCTAGTGGCAACGACAACAACAAGCCAAAAGTGGCAGCAATCGCAAAAACAACAACAACAGCAGCAGCAAAGTTGACGCTGTGGAATGCAAACGGCATGCGAAAAGAAAACGAAATAGTGGACAAATTGACTGACTGACAAGCAGGCAGCGACATGTTTAAGCTAGCCTAACGACAGCAACAACAACAACGGCAAAGACAATAATCAAGAATTGCCTATCCTGGTATTTGGTCACACAAACGCACACATTGAACAGTCGTCGTGCTGTCGACGTCGACGTCCACATCGACGTTGAGAGCGCGCCCAAAAATGCAATTGAGAAAAAAAACCCACGCAATAACAAAAACCCAAAATAGAAGACAACTACAAAACTGATGAAAACAACAACGAAACGGCATGCCAATGCCAAGACAACACACACACACATACATACATACATCTACACTCATACAAACCCATACCACTTGCTGTGCTGTTGTTTACCTGCGCCGAATGGCAGCGACGTTGGCGTCAACAGCGCAGTCGCAGCATCATTCCAATGCACACAGCCGCAGCGCATTGCATTATTTGGCAGCACACTGAAAACAATTATTAACATGTTCATATGTATGTACACAAATCTTCATAGACATTTAGGACAGTATTATCAGCTTATTTTAAACTGTACATACATACATATGTACATATATTTAATATAGGTACATACATACGTATATTATACATAAATTATTAAAGTTCAAATATTAAGCAGGAACAAAAATAAAATCACGTTGAGACAATTTAACAGACACAACACCACATTTTTAAGTTTTAATATTGCTTATATAATACATACATATGTATGTATGTATGTATATATGTACATTATATTTTGAAATTACTAGCTTAAATGTTTTGAAAAAAAAAAAATAAATAAAAAATAAAAAAAATAAACGAATACATAAATTACATAGAGAACTTAATATATTTAA